ATGCAGCCATGCAAACAAAAACATCGTAAATCAATACCGTAACACGGGGTTACTTTGTGCCTTAAGTTCCTACTTTGTTCCACCACTGAAAATTTAAGTTTCATGCTTCTCCTGTTCAAACGTCCTAAAAGTGGCGCGTTCTTTGCTATTTTTTAATTTATATGTGGCAAATACTGTCAAGAAACCATATTGCCTTTGCCGCACACTAAATAATACATCTGTTAATTGGATGTCAAAAAGTAACTGAACTTGTTTGTAAAATTTACTGTGCAGAACTTCTACGTGGTTTGCTTTTGTAGTACACACTACAGAAAAAAAAATCACTGAGTTTGTTAGACTAACACTTTGGTAAAAAGATTTGAGTATTTTTTTTACTGTTTTTTTATTCAGTTTTGAGAAAAAAATAACTCATCTTATTTGAGTGAGTTTTTATTTAAAAATGGGGTTACTTTAGGCCGGACTTAAAGTAACACCACATCATAAATAAAATCCAATCATTTTATTTACATTAAATGGACATATCATATGGTTTATTTCTTAATTTTATTTATTATTGCTATTGTTATTATTATTATTATTATCATTGTTATTATAACAAATATGATAAATTAAAGTTATTAATAGATATATTATTATTATTATTATGAAATTATATATAAAATATTTATATATTATTGATTTTATTTTTTGTTTCTTTAGTTGTTGTTTGTCTGTTGTTATTTTTATATTGTTTATTATATTAATTAGTCTTGTACTACTTGTCCCCTCACAAAAGTCTCATTTCATAGTCTCTTCAAAAAGGTTTCTTTGCATTTCTTCTTTATAAAAGTAGTCTCTTCACAAAAGTCTCTTTCATAGTCTCTTCAAAAAGGTTTCTTTGCATTTCTTCTTTATAAAAGTATTGTATTAATTTTACTATGTTGTAAACTATTTTCTTTTAATAGTAAAATATTGATTGATTTATATTCTAGCTAATAAAAATGCCAAGAATGTATACTAGAAGACTAGGCTCCAGAAAATATGTGGACTATTCTCCAAAAAAGCTCCAACAGTGCCTTTCTGCTATTAATGAAGGTCGAATGAGCCAGAGAGAAGCATCAAAACATTTTGAAATATGTAGAAATACCATACAAAACAAACTGAAGCTAAAGCACAATCAAAACCCAGGGCATCCTACAATATTTACTGCTTCGGAAGAATCAGCTTTTGTTGCTCACATCGTGGCAGTGTCTGAGTTTGGATTCCCTTTGGATGAATTGGATTTTAGGTTTATTGTAAAGGATTACCTCACTTCGCAAAATAAAACTATTCCACAGTTTAGAAATAATTTTCCAGGACTAGAATGGAGTAAAATATTTTTAAAAAGACATCCTATGCTTACTTTGCGCTTGGCAGCCAATATAAAACGCTATCGGGCTGCAATTAATGAAAAAACCTTAAGTGAGTATATTGAAAACCTCGCCCAAGTTGTTACAAATGTGACAGCAGAAAATATATACAACTACGATGAAACAAACCTAAGTGATGACCCAGGACGCAAAAAAATTATATGTCGTAGAGGCTGTAAATACCCTGAAAGAGTAATAAACTCATCAAAGTCCAATATTTCAGTCATGTTTTGTGGCAATGCTGCTGGAGGTACAATACCACCTTATGTTGTCTACAAATCAGAACATCTGTGGTCCACATGGACTGAAAACGGTCCCCATGGAACTAGGTACAATCGCACAAAACATGGATGGTTAGATAATGCTACATTCGAGGAGTGGTTTACTGCTCACCTGCTTCCTATACTGAAAAAACAGACCGGAAAAAAAGTTCTTATTGGGGATAATTTGTCATCGCACATTAGTCAGAATGTTTTAAAACTGTGTAAAGAAAATAACATAGTATTTGTTTGTTTACCACCTAACTCATCGCATTTGACACAACCTCTAGATGTTGCCTATTTTAGGCCACTAAAAAATAAGTGGAAAATTGTTTTAACTTTGTGGAAAGAATCACCTGTAGGTAAAAAATCTACAACACTTCCAAAAGGACACTTTCCATCACTTTTAAAAAAAGTGCTGGAATTAATAAAAGACACTTCTAGTGAAAATTTGATATCAGGTTTTGCTAAGTGTGGAATTTTTCCCTGTGATAAAGAACCTCTTATTAATCGCCTACCACTGCAGGATCGATCATCTGCTGATCTAAGTCTTATTTCTAAAGCATTTATCAGTCATTTGAATGACAATCGTGCAGACCTTGGACCTTCAATGTTAAAGCGCAAAAAAAAACTAAATGTTCCACCAGGAAAAGGAATCTGTCCTGACTCAGAAGAATCAGATGTTATACCAGTCAAAAATACTGTAAAAGTGTCCCAGAAACGAAAAAAAGTTAAATGTGTTATCTCTAGTGCAACATCTAACAGTGAATATAGGTGTAAGCTACGTGCATTTAAATCTGACTGAAACAATTATTATTAAACATTATATGTTTATATAGAGTAGATGCCTACCTACTTGTTATTTAGTTATTGTTTATTGTTATTACAGAACAAAAAAAATATTTGATACAATATACAAAGTTTTTTCCTTTTTTTTTTTTGTCTTTATATAGATCAAAGGCCATTTGTTTTAACAATTTCGAGATATTTCCTAAAGTAAATATTAAGTTAGTATTTGTTTTAAGATTATGAAAGTAATTATTTAAGTAATTTGAATGTTAATAAAACAAAACAGCACACCAAGTATACATGGCCTAAAGAAACACCAACCCAGGGTAACATTAGGCCACTTTTTGGAAAACTAAAAACTATATCTGTTTTTAATCTATTTTATAAATTAAATAGCTCGAATTAAAGGTTAATACCTTTATTAATAATTTGAATAAAAAAAAGATTGAAAAAATATTTTGAATAGACCAAAATTGATCGTTAAAACCAAAAATCGCAATAAAGTGGATTGAAGTAACCCCATGTTACGGTATTTGTTAATAATATAAAAAATGAAAAAAAAAAAAAAAAAGGATTTTGTTAATAATTTTTATTTTTAATTTTCTTTAAAAATATTTTCTATTCTATTAAAAAAATTTTCTACTCTATTTAATTTAATATTAAAACTAAAATAAGTTAGACAAAAAATTAAAATAAATAAAATTATCATTTCTCAATTAAGAAATTGTAATTTTGTTCAGCAACCATTTTGCTAAGCTTCTTTTTTTTATGGTGTCTCATGATTTGCATAATATTTGCAAATTGTAAATTTATTTGTAAATTTCGGAAAAGTTTATATGCTGTTTTTAGGTCGGCAAAGACGCCAAGAAAATGTGTACATGATAATTGTTTTGTATTTGAATATCATAATTAAACAAAAAAACTCGAATAAAAGAAGCAATCGCTTAGCAACGAGTTTCTTTTTGAAGGTATTAAACAAATGTAAGAATGTTAAAGCAGAAAAGTAAACTTTGATTCATATCATAAAATGTGCTCAAAATCAACTCAGGGTTCCATTTTTTGATAATTGTTTATTCAAAGCTATTTCACCAGTGGTATAACAAGACTTATGCTGGTGGACGCGGATTCTGCCCTACCCTATCCATCCATAAAAAAAATAACAACTGCATTTCTTTATTTAGTCCTATAATTATAATTTGAGGTACTATTTGACTTCTTGAGTTATTATTTGACTATTTTAAATTAAATCATCTTAAAAATTATTTTTCTTGTTTTCTGTTAGCAAAATTATTAATTGTAGGGGAGAGTGGGGTAATGGCGAACAGCTAAGCGGGAATGCGAATTAAAGACAATTATTACTATATATTAATGTTATTTTTTGTTTATTATTTAGTCTAACCATTTGGTTAGAATCACTCAAGAGCAATTTTCATATATCTTATTAAAAAATAAAAAATTTGATTAAAAACAAAACCTTCGGTGTTCGGAATTACCCTACGTACGTGGGGTAATTCCGAACATACAGCGGGGTAATCACGAATATTATTGGCTAACAGCGAATAAAATGTTGATCAAAGCAAATCAAACTTGATTGAAGTGTTAAAATATTATTGAATAAAATTTTAATTAAATCAAACGTTAAAGAAACAAATATCAATAAATTTTATTCAAACCAAATAAAATATTACATGAATTAAATGTAAGGTGACCTGGATACTTTCTGATAGTATGTGTGTGTACTTTTACTTTCTGTATACAGAAGGTAAAAGTACGAATTGAATACAAAATTACATAAGTGTTTTTTACTAATTTATTAGTGCTATGTTCTTTATACGCATTTGAGAGCATATATATATATATATATATATATATATATATATATATATATATATATATATATATATATATATATATATATATATATATATATATATATATATATATATATATATATATATATATATATATATATATATATATATTTATTACAATAATAAACTAAATAAATAATGTATAATAACTTTATTTAAAAATCTTCCGTGTGTTATTATTAAAAATATTCCGTTGTTATTATTAAAAATATTCCGTGTGTTGTTATTAAAAATATTCCGTTGTTATCATATACGCTAGAATACTTTGAAGACAATAAGCGTTCGCGATTACCCCACTAAGATCGTTTGTTATTTCCCCGCGATCCAACCGAATGAATTTAAACGATTATATTGAGGTAGTATTATCATAGAGGTAGTATTATCATAAATGTGTGGTTTTATATACATAGTATAGCCAATACATAAATTTTTCGCAAATAAAAATTACATAAAACTAAAAGAAAAACTTAAAATCAATCTACCTTGAAGAACCAGCGCATCTATAATACACTATTGCACGTCTAGAACTGAGCATGGAACCAACTCTTTTCAGAAAAAAAAAGATTGTCAACTATCCTTTTCTAACATGCCGTAACGACCTTGTTCGGAATTACCCCGCGTTCGCCATTACCCGACTCTCCCCTACTTTCAAAGTCAATTTTATTAGTCACTTTTTGTTTTCAGGATACTCATTGTAGATCTTAGATGATTTTAAAAAAAATTGATTTTGAAGAACTTCTCTCACAACTAGTCTCATTTGCAGCAATTATAATCACTTTCTGAATGGAAAAAAATATTTCCTTCTCAGCTCATTTTTATATAACATTGTAGTGTCTTGTGATCCTTTTTTAAATTTACAATACACAACTATTCCCAGATTTTCCCAGGTTTCTTTTGCATAAGCAACTGATTTATTTACAAATTCAACCCCAACAAAACAGTTTCCAAGTTTCTAGTTTGATATTACATTGTTGGGTGTCCAATAATTTGGTTTAGATTATTGTTCGCCATCCTTAGGAAAGACACTATCTAAAAAAATCCCACTATCTAAAAAAGCACAAGAAAGAAAATAATTGCAATCTAAAAATCATCTCTTTAACATTGGATTCTTTACATCTATTTTCCTCCTTACAAGCTTAACAGCATTCAAAATTTTTGAGTCATTTTTTCCCACCGTGTTTCAACTATACACTAGACACTTAGACCAGTGACAAAAAAATAAAATATCACAGCGCTTAATTATGCATAAAAAATATTTAAGCAACTGTTCCACAGTTCAAAATAAGTTGTAGAATCAACTGCGAAGAGTGCTGCATGCACTCTGGCTAATTCAGTGAGGAATTTGTACATGCAAAAAATTCTGATTTTCGATTAATTTTCTAAATTTGAACACCGGTATGGTGACAATCACATCATAGCAACACCGGTATGGTGACAATCACATCATAGCAACATTACTTGTTCTCTAGAATTCTAAAAATCAATTCCATCATTTTTTAATTTGTCCGTTATCATAGTTGAAATTTTTTTCTTTTGTGTTAATGAACAAAGGATTCCACAACACTTGGTTTCCATTAATCATAGCTTAACGTATATCTTGACTGGCTTGATCTTTCTTTAAAGAAAACTTTTTGTTTTATATATACGCTGTATCTCACATACTCTAATAAGAGGATTTTAATTAAAATTCATAAAAAGTTTGCAATAGTTAATAGTTGTTCAGCCATTTTTCACCAACTAGTTTTATTGAATTTAGATATTAAACTAGATATAATTATAAACTTAATACAGTTTACAAGAATCTTTATTTTGTTCAAAGTTTGCATATTCCACAATAAATTTTCCAATTTTTGTTAGAGTAATGTCAAGTAGTTGAGTTAAGTTTTGTAATGAATATTAATGTTATCATAAATTTGTAAATATCACAATTTTATTTTATGAAGAGAAATAACATCTTAATACATTGCGTTCGCTGCGAAAAAGCAATAAAGAAAAAAAGAAAAAGAAAGAGCAAAAAGATTTTAAAATTGATGATAGTGCAAGCTTCTATCATTATCGAAGCATTTTTTCTATTTTATTTATACATTAATTTCTTTTGTAGTTATTTGGGTGCTCCCAGATGTCTATAAAGCCTTATTACAGAGCACCTTGAGAGAGTATTTAATTTGAAATTCACGCCTTCTACCAACGCCTTGTTCCGTACCAATCATATAAAACTATTTTTTAGCTATTCCTCGAAGGCATCGTTAAAAATGCTAGATATAGAGGTTAAAGAGATTAAACCACTGCTTAATTGCTCAGCTCATCAAACTGTGTATGGAATAAATGATGAATGAATATATAATAAATTTAAGAAAAATTGTTGTATATATATATGTGATTAATATTAAGAAAAAAATAAAAAAATTTTATACTTTGAGTTTAAAGTTTGTTAACTGATATGTGACATAAGCCTTACTGTACCAATGAAGAGTGAATATATAATTTCCTCATTTTATCCTCAAAATTTTTTGCCGCAATATTCTAAGAATTTTTTATTAGACAATTTTTAAAGATGTGTGCCCGGTTAACTCTTTTCAAAGAATGACGCAACTATTAGCATAACGCGAAAACCAGGCAAAATCAAAATTTTCTGTATGGTTTGTATATTTCAAAACTGCTTGGTATGCATAAAATGTGAAAAATCGCAATTTGAAAATAATGAATATAAATAAATACTTGTATATATATATATATATATATATATATATATATATATATATATATATATATATATATATATATATATATATATATATATATATATATATATATATATATATATATATATATATATATATATATATATAAACAGAGAGGCAGATAGGTAGATAAATTGATAGACAAATACTCACATACCTCCTATTATGACGTATATCGCTATTAAAACAATGACTTCTCTCTAAATTATATTTATTTCATTATTTATTGTATTTTTTAATACTTACTGATTTTTGATGCATATTGTACTTAAAATTTATAGCAATAAACCCTTAAGTAAAAAAACATACCTGAACCATTTTTAATTTGAACTAAAATGTCTATATATTTTCATTTTATTTGTTGTAAATAAGTCACAACCTTAAGATAATTTTCAAATACAAAAAATTCGTATTACCTATTACTTTGCACCGACTTGTTATCAATTTAATCTAAGAATACTTTGTTAGGTGTAAATTGGCGCATATGATAAAAAATGTTCAAAATATTAAATTAACAGCTTTTTTAAGTATATAAAGTAAACTCTAAATTCAATCGTTTCCATGGAGTTTTAGTTTCCAAGTTCTAAAATAAAATTGTGTTGATTAATTGGTAATAAAAATTTATAACATCTAATTGAAAACGTTTTTCACTAAACTTTCTAAATTAAGAAGATTTAGAAACTTAATTCACACGCTTGCTTCATTTTTTTCGTCGAACCTCGGACTGAAGTCGACGTCGAACCTTGATTCTGAGGCAGAACTCTTACCACTGTGCCTCGGCTGTATTTATAAATTCCAAATCTCATAAGAAATCACTGAAAACATTAACAGTTTACATAATGTTAAAAAAAAAAGAAATACTTCATAACTAACCTTTTGATTATTACCTCTTAAGTATAAAAAATATTAAAAAGATTTTTTCAACCAACATTTATCAAGATTGTTTGAAGTGTAAAACTTAATAATTTCTCAGATGCAAAAAATTAAAAAAACAAAAACAAAATAAATTTTCGACTAATTACAAAAGTAAGTTGGGCCAAGAGCCCAAAACTCTTTGCGCAGCCCGGAACAGCACTTAATTGGCTCCATTATTGATAAAGCTGCGTTGTATTGTCCTAGCAACAATTTTTGTTCAGGTTATATATATATATATATATATATATATATATATATATATATATATATATATATATATATATATATATATATATATACATATATATATATATATATATATATATATATATATATATATATATATATATATATATATATATATATATTTATATATATAGTGAATTTAATATTTTTTATTTTTCAGATTTTACTCGTAATAAGTCAGGTGTTTGTGATATAAATATAGTTTTTTTTATACCCGGGAATTACTTTAGATAAAAAAATAACTTTTTTATGGTAATTACTATTGAATTATTTTTTAATTTCCTACCATATAAATCTTTGTTAGTGGAGAAACTCAATTATGTTTTTAAATCAATGGTGTCCATGTATGTTTACGGAAATATTGTACTATGTCAGTAGATTCGATTAAGTTCCCATACCTGACCAGTACATATTTGGCAGACTTTTTCTTTAATGAGATATCTAATAATAAATTAAAATAACATAAACTCCGAAGTTTTGATAAAAGTAAATAGAGAGTTTTGGGTGTTGAAGCGAAACCAGATCTAATCTCGTTTCTACACCCCAAACCTTGTTATATATTAATCCAGTTTAATTTGCAGAATAAGCTCATAGATAAATTTTCAGAATTGCTATATTCAAATTAGTTTGCCATAGAATATAGCAGTTTTTGGCGAGGCTGGCAACAAATAAGCCCCAAATTTCGTCACCCCCAATCACCACCACCCACCTCAAACGTAAGGGCAACAAGTTGATGAAATATTATTTGTGCTGTTCTCGGCTGGGCTTATGTTCACCAAAAATTTTAAGTTTCATAGTATTATCTCTCAGCGTTCAAAAATTATGACCGTTTAAAGTTTTTTTATATGGTCATGATTTTAAAACGCTAAGAGATAATACTATGAAACTTAAAATGATGGATGAATATAAGTCTAGTTGAGAATAGTACAAAAAATACTTTATCAACTTGTTGCACTCTCGTTTGGAGCAATGGAGGGATGAAATTTTGGGGTTTATATGTTCCCAGCCTCCAAATCTTTATTTTTCCCTCCTCTTTCAAAAAATGTTCCATAACTTTCCACAATAATATTAAAAGTACTATTTAAAAAAGATTTTAACAAGGTTTAAATGATTAAAACTGTTCTTTATGTGTCTTCTTCAATTTTTAAAGCAAAATCTACAATTGGATATCTTTTATAATAAAAAGCCTAGCACCTATTGCGCTCAGCTGAGCTCAAAAAATTTGTTTGTAAATTTTTATCTATTTATGAGAGTGTAATTTAAAATAGATCACATGTGCAGCTTAGTGTGGTCTAGTGTTTTTGGCTTGTATTAAAGTAAGTTTAAAAAAAAATGTTGCACGTTTTAAGGGGTTTTATTGAAAAACACTTTGAAAAAAAGCAAGCATAAAAAATAAATTTTTATATTTCTTCTTCTTATTTCAATCTATGATGTCAATTGACTAATACAAACCAATATAAATTTATATAAATAATGTAAATTTTTAAGAAATTAAAATGTTGTAAAATTGTCTTGCTAACCTCATATTTCATTTTTATATGATTTTTTACATTTTCACCAATAATTGAAAAATAAAATATTGTCATTTTTGTAGTAAAATTGATATACTGCCCTCAAAAAGTAAGAAAAAGTTTGTATTAGTTTTAGAGTGCTGGGGGTCTCTATATTATAATTATAAAAAGAAATGACTCCAACATAAAAGTCGGTTTTGAAGGGTTTTGCTCACTTCTGGCCCACTGTGCAACGCGATGAAATGTAATTTGTAAAATATTATCAAAATTTCTTATTTTGTGATAACGTTATTATCTATTAGCAATTTGCCAATTTATTATTATTTAGACAATTTGCTAATAAATAATAGCAATGCGCTCTATGGCATTGATGTTAAATAATTAGTGATTATCACTAGTTAATCACGAGTAAGAAATGGCTTCTCAATCGCTAGGTATAAAAACTTGATTTGCCGGTAAATTAGTACTCAATCTCCTCTTACAATTAGTAGTGAATCAGTACTACACCACCAGTGATGTGCAAGTAGGTAAGGTTTAAATAATTTTTCTTTTTTAAATAAAACATTTTTCTTAATACCAATAAGAGAGTGCAAAACAAAAATTTACAAAACAACGGACGTCAAACAGTGAAGTATTTGTATGGTGAAACGACTCAAAAATATTTTACGGATTTTTTTTCAATTTATTAGCTTAAAACACAATATCTTATCTAAATTATTTGTTTAATTAAAAAAATTTTTTTAAAAGAGTAATTTATTATTAGTAAACAGACATTAATTATTCAATTACAATTATTTGCTTGTCAAATCTTCATACCGAGATCATTATATCGACTGCCTCTTACAAAAAAGGCAACGTTTTTTCGTGCTGTTTTAATCTAGAAATACTTATGTATGGGTCTGAACTCAATAGAAGTTAATTTAATGCGTCTGCATTGCAGTTGATAAAAAAAAATTTCGACTAAAACTTTGCCTTTAGTGTCGAATGTATTTGATTTGGGCTTCAGCTACCTCAAATAACTGGCCAATAGGGAGGATTGCACGAGTTATTACTTTGGCATCATGCATCTAAACCTTATGCATGGTTGGAGATTTGTCATACTTAACATACAAATTTATATACATTTAACAGTCTCATGAGCAAAAGCGTTGAACTTAACAGCATCCATTTTATATCCACTTGAAACGACTTCAAGAATAAAGTGTAAATGTTTTATCAAATCCAAGTTAACACCAGTTATTTGTGAAGATAATTCCGGATGTAAAAAAAATCTTCGTGGCGTATTGCCGTCATTGGTAATCCTAAACCCTGCTTTTGGTATATCAACTTGAAACCCTAATTTTTTTTTGATGAATGTTTTTCTTCTTTTTATACAAGATTTTTTTTCCTCGATTGAGCTCGCTCAATCAGACAAGGTTGAGCTCGCTTCTTTTGTAAAGATATTTTATAAGCTAAATGAAGAAACAATTCGGATCCTTGCATGAAGAATTTAGAGTTCAAATTAGATCCCAGCCGGCACAATGACGTTGAAATAACGTTGAAACAACGTCGCAAACCGACCATATGCCACGTTGAAACAACGTTGAAATTTGGTTGAATTGGAAATAAATCCGACGTCGAAAACTACGACGTTGATACAACGTCGATGATTACGTCGTTTCAACGTTGATCTAACGTCTTATCGACTACATATCAACCATATTTCAACTTTGAATAGGTGATCTATTCGATTGATACGTAGTTGATAAAACGTTAAAACAACGTTGAAACAACGTAAATTCAACGTTGATTTTTGTTTTTTATTTTGGTTAAATCAAATTAACTAAAAAATTTTCTCAACTTTAATTGCAATAAATTAACACAATAAAAAAGCAATAATTTGCGCAGAGGATATTATATTTCACGTAAATTAATCAGATACAACTAAATTGCTTCAACGGACTTTATATACAATGCAAATAAAATAAAATGTTTGAAAAAAAAAAAGTTTTATTTATCAGTAATATATTTATCAATTTATCAATAATAACTATTATCAATAGTTCCAGAACAACTAGGAAAAAGTTTGAATGTTATACATCGGGTTAATCGCCTTTTACGCGGCGACCACCACCATTTGATCTGTCAAGTGCGTATTTTAATAAAGTCATTATTCCTTTTCTTATTTCGGCAACTGTAGCAGTCACTTTAATTGACAAAACTCTCTCTATAAAAAAGGTATTGCCTGAGTAATTTTCATCAAATACATCAAAAAGTTAAAAATAAAATAGCATTAAAAAAACGAACTGTGATTTTTAAAAATATATAACTTTACACTTAACTTACAAATAAATACCTAATGTTTGTTCCTTTAAATTTCTCTTTACCTTTACCGTCAGCCATATTAAATTTTGATTATAAACCATTGGTCAACAACCTACATTATACATTGTTATTAATATCATAGTAACAAAAATTGATAAACATGTCTTTTACAAAATACAAATGATTCTTAATGAAAAATTGCACAAAGGTTTCTTACCAAAGGTTTCTCACCCAACGCAAAAGGTTTCTTACCAAACCGTAATGCAAGTAAGAAAAAGAATTTATACAGGGGAAGAGTTTGGTCTAAGGAGACCACTTTCTAAACGCAAGAAACCACCAAGAGCGGACAGTATAATCAGATTTATCTGCCTGGAAAACAGAAAAAAAGCCACTAAACTTATTGACTAAGCTTATCCATAAAGCTGTAATTGTTGTGTCAGACCGGACCATTTGTAGAAGGCTAAAAGAAGAGGGA